GGACTATAAGCCCCTCCCACCTGCATACATTACCGTAATGTCTGGACTATAAGCCCCCACTATTTTGAATACTGCAGCTTAAACAATGCGGCTAATTTATGGATTTTTACGAGTTTTACGAATTTGCCTCGAGACGAAAGTGACACTGAGAGACTGAGGAAGTGTGTGACGAACTCTGACACTGAAGAAGACGACTTTAGTGGTTTTAGTGCAGGAGGAAGATGAAGATAGTGATCAATGACTTTTCCTGGTAGGCTGCTGGAGTTTTATTTTCTTAACCAGCCGTGTTACAGGAACTGTTAGGCAAAAATGATCTGCGTATTTGTGTGTGTTACCGTACATATTTAATTATAAATATTAAAAAAATGGTGCTGCTTATATTTAGGTGCACTCAGTAGTCCAGAAACTACGGTACCTCCTGTTTCACCTGCTGTGGGTGAAAAGGCCTGTGATTGGCTAACATCTCCTCACAGGCTAGATTTTTCTAATCCTGAGCTATGAGGATGTGCAGAACTCTAGTTTCCTCTTAGACCTCTTAAGTCACTACATGCTGATGGGTTAATAGGAGTTTTTTGCCCAGTGATGCCAAAAAAAGACCCCAGCTTTAACTTCCTCATCAAAATGATCAATTAAAACCAACTCTGATAGTCTGATTAAATTTAAAATGGCCCAAAGGTCACATTTTCTTTTTGTTCACACGGATTTAAACCTAAAAACCGGAGCCGGTAAAGAGGAAGAGCTCCGTCAAGCCTGCATGTGGACATCACATTGTTCATTGTCTGCTCCATTGAAGCCGCCGTCTGCAGACAAACAAAGTTACAGTAAATCTATTTTCTGTTTTCCACAGTCACACAGCCGTCCGAGTTGCACCAATTCTACGTCTTATTTTCAGTTTTCGCCGGCTACAGACAGCACTCTGCCAGCGCTGGTGCTCTTTTATCATTATCCATCACGGAAAACTGCTTCAATGTGGTTTCGATGAGTATCGCAGACTGCAGCACAGTGAATGCAGCAAGGCTGGCAAAATTGCAAAAGTCGATCTGGACCTTCTCCCCCCGCGAGCAGTTTCCGCAGTTTATCAGCTCTCACCGCCGGATGGGTTTGAGCATATACAGTGGCAGGGCCTTTTGCTGGAGTTTTAAACATAAATCTGAATGGAATGAGCGTCTGATTTACGGAGGACAGGTAATTTAAAGCTGCAGCTGGAGGAACAATGTGCAGTGACGCACCTGCGACAACTGCACGACAAATCTGTTCTCCTCAGAGGCAAAAAATAGAACATGGTTTATTAAATAATTTTAAAAAACTCCACTTGGTTGAATAAATTCACGAGACACAGAAGCTGGAGGAAGACAGTGGAGCGTTATTTTAGGAGATTACAGTGAGACACACAAAGCAGGAATATTATGAAGGGCTTGAAATGCTAAGTTAAGTGAACCGAAGCTTCCCGACTGTTTCCTGCTTGTTCTACAAAATAATGAGCTTCTGTGACATAAAAACTTCATTTTATTTTTTTTTAGTTTGGTAAATTGTTATTTGCTTGTTTAAAAAAAGCCTCTTCAAAAAAAAAGTCCTGAAATGATGCAGGAGGTATTTCATTTCAGATTTCTGTCCAGGAGCTTGAGGAAAACACATTATTTGTTGGTGGGTCAATGGAGTTCGCTGCTGAACTGAAATGATGAGGTTCATGACACCGGTGGCTGTTTTGGCTGGTCGAGGGAAACCCAGTAACCTGCTGGTTTTTATACAACCTCGTCTCTTCAGTCTTTCACTGGGAGCTTGTTGGAGCTCCACCAGACCACGGCACGTGATGCGCTTGTAAGACGGTCATCTTTGTGATGCAACAGCGACAAACCAGTATAAACGCGGCGACATAACTCAGTTTTGTTTTCTCTGGCTGGTTCCACGTACTGATTTTGCGATAAACAGCAAACGTAATTAAAGCTGTTCCTGCTCTAAACTAGCTTCATTCTGATGTTTGCTATCGGAAAATCATTCCCCTTACACTTGCAAACTTGCAGAAGTGGCATTGGCATCGATCGCGTGACTGTGATAAACAGAGTGATTGTTCTCAGCGGCGCGATCTATTAATTGCTTCAATTAGCACAGGATGATTTTTCACACGTTATTTATTTGCGGGTTCTTACATAACGCTGCGTAAAAAAAAAAAAATCGATAGCAAGCGATTGGTGGTTAAAATCTGTGTCTGTTTTAGCTGCTCTGGACTGAGCTTCGTAGCTCTGGAGCTGTTCGGTAATGTCCTCGTGAAAATAAATGTAAATTCTTCAGGTAAAGAGTGTTTTGTTGCTCGAGCCAAAGCAGATAACGCAGCGCTACAAGGGTCATTAGTTAATCTATGAGTTTTATAGATTTTGCAATTATTTAGCAGCTGAAAATGTCAACCAATCGGAGGAGGGGGGCGACGTATTGGCAGACTGGAGCAAATGAGTTTGTGTTTTCAAAAACGAGATTATTGATCATGTAGTGAGACGGGCTAAATAATTATTGGTGTTATGAATATAAAATGACTGTGGTGATAAATAATTCACATGATCGTGCAGATTTGCTCTATTTGAGAAAAACTAAGTTAATACATGCGTTAAATTATTACACGAGTGTCAGCTGCCTCCTGCAGACCACAGCGAGTAGAGCTGATAAACACAGTATATGTACACATCTGAAAAGCTTCATCCAGTGTGTGTGATTGTACCCGGGCAGGGGACGAAGCAGGGCTGCTCCATCTCCTGCTGGATGTTCTTCCTCAGGACGTCTCCACAGAGCTCCTCCTCCACCAGCTGAGGAAGTGACCCATGCCAGTGACCCCAGTGGACCACACAGGACAGGTTCCTCCTCCGAAGGCCTTCGCCGCACTCTGCACCCTGAGCACACACACAGATATGGTGTTAGTAGGTATCAGCAAATGTTTCCTCATCACACCTTCACCAAGCTCCTTTATATATGTGTCTGCTGCCGGCCATAAGAGCGTGTACGGTCTGTGAGAAGATGCAAGGTGCAAATAGAAATACTGGAGCTATTTTCCAAATCTATATGAAAATATTCCATTTTTTGTCTTCACTCTTTGGGAAACTGGCTTCAGCTAAACACATGACATGGCTTCGTCTGCACGTTTTCCCAGAATGCCTCAGGCGCTGTGTATCTCTGACAAACATGTTGAATGCATTTCCTTACAAAACATCTGCCATGCCACTTGTTGTTGTTTGTTTGTTTTAGATCCATGTCTAGTTGCTAGCAGTTCTTATTCGTTTCGGCGTTTTGCTGGCACATTTATGGGTTTTTTTCGTGCGTAACTGCACCTTGTAGGTCATTAAAAGAAACTGTGGAACCATTTTCATGCAGGCTTGTTTGTGAGCGAGCACATGTGCAAACAAACTGTGGACCCACTCGTAAAAACTTTGCTTCGTAGCTGTTCAAAAACTCCACAGGGTACCTTTGTGCAAAGCAGCAGCTCAGTGTAGCATCATTCCAAACTGCACATATTAGGCGAATGTGATGCTGAGAAAATAATGGAGGAATTTTTGTCTTTCGCTGCTGTTGAAGTTAAAATTGAGCCCCTTGGTAAATGCATGTTGACATGACATGAAGGTAAAACATGGTACCTCTACGGTGCACGCGGACCAGTCGCTCAGCACCCACATGTAGCACGGCCTTATGGGACAGGGTTTGGTCTGGAGGAGCTGGCTGGGACAGGGGCGTCCCTCCTCGTGAGCCTCCTGCAGGATCCTCCGGCTGCGCTCAGAGTGACCTACAAAATATCAAGGCCGACACGCCATTATGAAAAACACCAGATCAGACCTGAGCACTTCTGCGAGCAGCAGGATGCTGGAGCTAACTACTCCTCTCGCCTGCACACGTGTGAAACTCAGCAACAGTGTCGCTTTGCAGAGCTACTTTTAACAAGACAAATTGCTGGAGCAGAATAAAAACACTGCGGGATTCACACACTCAGGACTGAAGCACATGTGAGACGGAGCGAGAGGCGCGAATGCATCACCGCACAAACATAAGGCCCCATAAAATAACGCTTAATAAAAAGAGTAGCTGGAATGAATGATGATCATTTATTTAGAAGGGAAAAGAGGTTGCGGCTTCTCTTTAGTCCGTGAAATATATTCCTCGTGACAAAGAGGAATTAGCGCGACGGGGCCATACGTCTGTGTCACCGTGCCACTTTATGCTCAGATCTAGCCGTTTCCTACAGAAGTGCTTTGTACAACTGAGCCATTAATAATGTGTGAAAGGAAAAGTTTGGTAAATGGCAAAGGAAGTGGCCAGAGAGCGGGTCTGGTACGCTGTAGAGCAGCTTAGTGTCTGGCTATTGTGAGGCTCAGTGCCTGGGCATGGCCTCCACTAACCATCCAGATGGCAGGAGCTGAGTGTGTGTTACGCCAGGGGGAGATCCTGAGCTCCGTGAGCCCCGGGCACACAAAGCAAAGAGGACACTCAGCTCTGCCATCTCAAAAAAATCAAACCAAAAACATTAATGCTCCCATGGCATCCTGACAAAACAAGATCTTTGCGTCGTCTGACACAGATACGACACAAATCCCTTATCAAGGCAGACAGATGTGTTTCACAATACGTGAGAATGAACTGAGAGAGCGGCACAAAGAGTCGCAGTAGCGGCGAGAGACACGAAAAGGGAGAAAGCGAGCGGGTCTTGAGTTTAAATCCCCAGCTGAAAGCCTGTGTAAGTGTGAGCTTATTGGAACGAGGGGTTAACTGTGAGAAGACAGACAGGCAGGCGACGACAAATTAAAATTAATGAACTTAAGAAGACAGTGCTGAGTCTCTCTAATTAACAGAATAACAAGCTTTCTCTTTGGGAGATTGGCTTTGAGAAGCCGCCGAAGCAATGCATGCATCCAGGTTAAATCATTAACTTCTGTATATTGCATGAGGTTATGACGTGACTCTCAGAGAGATGCCGCCCCAGCCACAGGTTGGTGATTACCAACTGCATTTTGCAACCATACAGAGTTAGGGTGTATATTTTATTTAGGAACACTGAATCTTTAATGGCGAAGGTGAGCCGTATAGCTGCATTGAGTTTAATTGAACCTGCTGTCCTCAGAATATAACCTTATAAAGCATGTCAATTAAAAAAAAACAACTTTCTTCATATATTCATACATTATTATAATGAAGTAGGAATATTAACATATACATTATTGAAAAAAAAGAAGCCCCGGCGCAGTTTCCCTGTATAATAAGGCTTTGGATTACACATATTCGTAAATATTTTAATGCATTTAAATGTATTCATGCACAATTGAACATCTTGGAGAATGCCTGAGTAGATGGAATAATGAGGCGCCGCACATGTGGTCCGCTGTGTGTCTCTTCATCAGGTTGCTGCTCCCAACAGTTTAGCTTAACTTCTGTTTGTTTGCGTTGTTTACCTTGGCTCCCACAGGTGCGCGAGCATTCTGCCCACGGCGACCAATCGGAGAGCACGCAGCTGACAGGACAGTCGACCACGCAGGCCTCCGACAGCCTCCACTTGTTGATTAAACCCAACTGTGGAAAACAAGAGCAGAGATGAGAGGAGGGCCGGCTAATTATTCCCACCAACAACAAAGAGGAAGCGCCAACATTTCCATATTTTAAAGAGGCTGCGGTTCACTCGAGGACAGCGGAGAGGCTGCAGTTGGACGATATTAGCGTTAACGAAGCTTTGCAGTGTAGTTGAAGTGTCGTTCTACTTCCTCATATACGAGCACAGTTCATATGGTTAGCGTACACTATACTTAGCGCAGAGCTAGCTTCACCGCAGCATTAATTCCATTAAGCTGCCTTCACTCAGCAGCCTAATGTGATTCCAGAAGCACCTGAGGTTAACCGCAGATTGTGAAACAAGACTAATAACCGGCTCCAAACACAAAAGTGAAAAATGTTCCGGCTACTACTGTTATTGAGTTTACAGCGTCTATAGGACCACTTTCTTTTTTCTTTTTTTGTCTTTGCACCATGAGATGGAGCATCGAGCTCTGTTTGGCTCGCTGAAGTTACGAGAGACAACATTTTCACTTAAACAAATTGGGCAACTGGGCTCTCAATAATGTATAACCTGTGGGAGCCAAACGGGAGCTGCTGGAGCTCTGCATTATCCATCAATACTTCCTGTTTAGAGAAATAAATAAAGAAATAAAACAATCTTGAAGTACAATCTTGCAGAGTTCCCTCTGTGGGGGATCTCCTCGATGTGGTGCACTTCTCCCGGTTTTATGAAAAGAGTCAGAAATAGTTTCTTACCTCAAATGTATTCGTCCCTTTCCATTAAAACAAAACAAAAAAAAAACGGCAAAATTCATAACAGTCACTCAAATAACTAGAAACTGAAAAAGTAATAATAAATAAAAATTTGCTAAATTATAATTTAGTGAAAAAAAGACATTGCTTTTAAATTGTGCTTGGAAAAAAATAATTTAAAAAATAATAATAAAAACTGTCCCAGACAAATTTGAGCCCTTTGCTGATGAGCAGTGGGCCTGGATAGGTGTCTGATTGTCTGCCTGTGTTTTTATTATTATTATTATTATTATTTTTATATATTTCTGTTGAACCACAATTCAAAAGCAACATCATGATTTCCATTAAATTTTGTATTTATTATTACTTTTGTCGATTTCAGCTTATTTCAGTGACTGAAGCTGTTTCTTTCCTTCTTTAATGGGAGGGTATGAATAAATCTGAGCACGACTGTACCTGTTCACCCAGAGTAAAGCACTGCAATTTTCATACATGCAACGTGTGCAGTGACAGTCTAAACATGCAGGAACCAGTTTTAAATAAAGGTGTTTCATTCGTTGCATAGTAATTACCTCCTCACACTTCTGCACCTCCATCATCTTGCCGTCGCTGCGAACACAGTCCAGGAGACGCAGCCGTGTACCCTGACCACAGATGGCATTTTCACTCAGCTGGCATGTACTCCAGCCTACACACACACACACACACACACACACACACACACACACACAGATTGACATATCTGCATTAGTCTCACTGTCAGACCAGCTTATATGCTGATACCAATAGAATCTCTGTCTGTTCTCCAGCAGCAGCAGCAGCATCCTGCGCACTAATCCCTGCTGCACCCAGCCACGTAAACTTACACATTTTTAATCTCTGTTCGCTTGAATAGTTGCTCAGTTTATTTATTCAGGAAATCTTCTGCGAGAGAAAGATTGCTTTTGCAAGACAGACCTCACAGCGAACAGAAAAAAAAAAAAGATCACAGACGCAGAAAACAACAACAGTTACGAATATTACACTGAAAATTAGGCTGGTGGAGCTTTAGAGCCTCTCGGGGGTGGAATGAGCGTCTCCAAAGCTAAAGATGCAGCTCATTCCACGAGGAAAGAACGGGAAGCCAATCTAAGCCCGATTCAGAGGCTGTGTAAGGAACTCACAGAGGTGGGTGTGATAACAGGCTGCAGTAATGACATGAAAGGTGGTAGACAACAGGGTCTGCTGGTTTACAGCAACATGAGCACCAACATGCTCCAGTCATCCTGGGTGGACAGTACGGTGCCCTGATGGTCCTTTTCTATTATGATTTTCAAAGGAATAAGCTCTGTTTTGATAGGAATGCAATTATAATTGTAAATATATTAGAGAAGAATTGTGTAAAACAATCTGCTGTCGGACCGGTTCCTAACGATCACAGGGCTGGACTGTATGGAGCAGCTCATCTACAGACAGCAGTCAGAAGCTTGTGTGAAATATACATTTCAAATACATTTCTGTCAGAACACATTTTAAATTAAACATGAGGATCATCAAAAGCAGCCTGTAATCCAGAGATCGCCTGGTTTCCAGATCATCAGCATATAAATAAATCGTTTATGTAAACAGGAAGCACACCTCAGGCCGCTGGGTCTCAAACTTTTTGAGCCACGACCCCCAAGATAACATCAGTTTGTGTTCCCTTCATATCTAATATATCATGAGTAATAACTGTGTTGTTCATGCATTAATGTGTTCATTCCACAGATTCATCTCTTTACATGAAGACGTTAATTTACTTTTTAATGAATGAATGAATTGAATTTATTTCAAGCAAATGAAAGGAAAAAAAAATCTAAAAACAAAAGAGAAAAACAGAATAATAACATGGCATAATCAAATCATAATGTTAACTAGTTCTAAAAAGGAGTGGGAAGAAGTCTACACTTTTAATGTTGACAGCCCTGATACACATTTATCTGATAACTGTAGGCTTTATTTTTATTCTTTTTTCTTTACAATGATCTGGTGACCCCCTGGAATTATCTTGGGACCCCCATTGGGGTTGCAACCCCCAGTTTGAGAACCACTGCTTTAGTCAATAGTCAGCATCAGGACCAATCACTGTATCAGACACATGGTTTGAAGCAGCAGCAAGCAGGAAAGTCAAAACCCACGAGATGTGTTGAGCAGCACCAGAGGCCTCAGACGGACAGACAGACAGACAGACAGACAGACAGACAGACAGACAGACAGACAGACAGACGGATGGACAGACAGACAGACAGACAGACAGACAGACAGACAAACAGACGGATGGACAGACAGACAGACAGACAGCTGGAGGTAAACACCTGCCTCGGCTCTGACACGATGCTGCTGGTCCTACCTGAGACTCTGTACTCGTAGCTGAAGCAGGTGCTGTTGAGGACACAGGGCTCCGACTGGACCAGCTCCGGACAGGCGGCCTTATCGGCGGCGGGGAGGCGGAGGATCTGTCTGCTCCGGTTCCTCGCTGTTCCCTGGTCACACTGCTGGACAACAACGAAACAGATAGATTCAGCAGCAAGATTCACAGGGGGAAAGCTGACGAATCCCTCAGCAGAGGAAATTCAAAGCTTTGTCCTGAATTTACATTCATGACCCGCAGAGTAAAACATGGTGATTAACTTATCATGCATTGTGAAATCACTGTGGCAGCATAAAGTTAGACTTGAGAGCAGGTTTTCAGTGAATGAGGCCTCCGCTTGACGCTCTAACAACTCCCCCTCATATCAATACACCTCCACAGGACCGCTCGGTGGAGCTGAAAGGCTTTGCTTGGGCGCAGCATGCTGGAGGAAAACAGTTGTCCATTTCAGCGATACAGAATCAGGAGGCAACGAGGAACGGTAAAGAAATAAAAAGAGAGCCTAAGAAGGTAAAGATAGCTCCACTCGGCTCAAACTTCAGCCCGCCATCGTTTCAATAGAGGGTCAAAGGCAACAAAAAAGGCTCATAGTTATGTGTTTTGAATATTACCAATGTAGTATAATAGAGTGATTATTCTCATGCATTTTAAGTGCAAAGAGTCAAACAATTAATTCATCACAGTCGTATAAATCTTAATTATTAAATCCAAAGTGATTGTGGGGTTACTCTTGATCTGTAATAAATAAACCTGTAAATATTGTTAATATTTCTTTCAATTCCCTCTAAATTCATCTACATTTAATCAAAAAGCTGCCTTTTGTTCAAATATGTTCTTTGTGCAAAATCAAATTAATTAACTTATTCAAATTATTAATACTTCTTCAAGCTGTTGAATTAGAGCTTAAATATGTGCAATATGAAAAACATTCTTCACGACTTTAACAAATGAAAGTTTTCAGTAAATCCATCCAGTATCTGAGTTTAAAGTTTGGATGAAAGGAGCAAACACGTCCAGTCGTTTTATTATTGGTCCTTTATGTCACATAAAAGCGAACAAATATAGTAATTACATTTGGTAAAACACTTTGGTCTCGCTTAAAATGTATGTTTTTTTGTCCTCTCTCACTTTTAATCAAAGATAAAGCTGAGTTAGTTCAAGGTGAGACTCTCTTGTTCTCTGACTAAACACATCCTGAACAGTGTTTAACAGCTCAGTGTCATCCTGGAGTGAAAATGACCTGAAAACTAAACGTCTGTGAGAAAGACATTGAAACTACGAGCTGCAATTGTTGCTCCTCCACAATAGTTTTTTAGAAAATACTAAACTGGCAGGTGCATGAACAAAACGATCTTACAAGGAGGAACAAAACAGATTTATGTTGGTTTGTAGACACTATTGTGTGCTTTTGTGATGACATCTTGATCTTTTGTCGTCATGATTAAATGATATGAAAACATCGAGATAAAGAAAACTTTAAATACAAAAAAAACAAGCAAATACAAACAATCCCTCAGATTGAACTTTACCTGAACATACTTTGTGTTTACAAGGCACAAAAAATTTGCATAACCAGTTCCTTATTGGGCTGCACGGTGGCTCAGTGGTTAGCACCGTCGCCTCACAGCTAGAAGGTCGCCGGTTCGTCTCCATGTTCTCCCCGTGCAGCGTGGGTTCTCTCCGGGTTCTCCGGCTTCCTCCCACAGTCCAGAAACATGCTGAGGTTAATTGGTGATTGTAAATTGTCCGTAGGTGTGAATGTGAGTGTGCTTGGTTGTCTGTCTCTAAGTGTAGCCCTGTGATAGACTGGTTACCTGTCCAGGTGAACCTGCCTTCAGTCAGCTGGGATAGGCTCCGCCCCCCATGACCCTTGTGAGGGTTAAACGTCATATAGATAATGGATGGATGGATATTTTTCAATTAATCCCTCTTCTCTCCTATGTATTTGACTGTAAATGCACATGTGCTGTTTTTCCACCTTAAATCTTGCTTTTGTGCCACGAAGTGATAAAAATAAACTTTTAAATAATTCAGTGCTCATAATTTTTCTCACCTTTACAAACTCATCGCTGCCACTTGAAAATAAGAAAAACAAGTGGGTTTTTCCTCCCCCCCTCCTAATGTGACCTTTATCTCATAATTACCATATTTCCTCATCGCGGTGTGATAGCATGTCATCATTAGGAGGAAAAAAAAAAGTAATAAACACGAGGTAGCATCACAAAATTATGTCCTGATGCTCCAGGTGACATTTTTGATGCTGATTTTCTCTTTGCAGTTTATCATTATCTGACATTAATGGTAGCTGCTGCATTCAGGTTGCTGTGAATATTGTATCCCAGCCTGGATGTGTGAACAATCCAGCACAGCAAGCCAGCTCAGGGAAGCTGACTTCACCGTAGCATCGACGTCTGTGCAGCGGAAAGCAGATGCAGACGAGTGCGATAATTACTGGCAGAGAGACATTTAGCAAATATTTACCAACATGCGCTGACGGGACGACGAGAACGTGCAAATCACTCGAGTGACACTACATGGAAATGGAAATCTGTGAGCACAGGACGTGTAAACGCTGAGAGGCCGCCGTGCTCGGTGTCTGATTGAGGAGGAAAGATTCTCCTGATAGAGATCTTTGCACCGAGCTGCATTCGTCCCTCTGCACCTGATGCACCGGGACACGCACCTCAATCACTGTCAACGCCTAATGAGGAAGCTCTGGGTGAGGCTCATGAATCAGCCGCCGTCATTGTAGCCTTAATGCGTTCTCCCCGACTGTCACACAAGCGCACACGGTTATGTGCTATAAGGTCCTGCAATCTGCAGCCTCCCCGGTGCCTTCAGCAGATTAATGCCAGCTTACGGACACTGTTTTCATCCTACATTACCCCAACTTGGGTAAAATAACCAGACCAATGACAGCCACCGAGGTCCTAAAAAATCAATATTTTAAAATAAAATGAAGTGTGTTCATTTGCAGCTTGCAGGCTGGTGTGCCATAGGCTCCGATAAGCGGCGAGGCACTTAACAGTGAATGGCAGTTCCAGCGGTGCCTTTCTGTTCCACGTTACCACCTCACAGCCTCAGCCTTTCTCTGCCACACACAAAAGCACTCACGCCCATTAGAGATTCTTTGCCAGCGTTCATTATCTATAATTGTAACTAATCATGCATTCATCATTACTATTTCACATTCAGCTAAAATTGACCCCGCATGTGGGGGTGGAGGAGGCAGCCTATAAATAGACGAGTTCTTGAATATGAATACGGGCTTCTCCTTACAGAACAGGACCAGGACTATTTGTATGAGTGAGGAGCCCAGGTATGCACTGAGCTGCTGCAGCAAACCAGCATTTAGGTGTGATTTAGCCACGCAGGTTCAACATTTCTTCCTCTATTGAATGCGGTTTAGTCTCTAAAATACAGCCGATAACCGCAAACCTTCAAATTCTGTCTTTTAAATCTGCATAATTGGAAACAAAGCTCAACATCAGAGGAGTGCAGCATCCAGGCTGAAACACGGCTCCAGTTTCAGAAACAGCTCTCAAAAAAGTGCACCCGAGACGTTTGCATGTAAACTTTACTGTTGGTTGACTGAAAGCAGCGACCGCCGGACAGAAACTTCCATTTATGTTCTTTGCTATAATCATATAACTGCTCGGGGCTCGTTCTTGATTTGTGTCCGTTTGTAAGTCTTCAAGCTGCAGTTCCTTGTAATTGCATTTTTACTGGCTTCAACTTATCTCAAAGGCCGAGGAAGGAACACGATTGGCCGTGATTCCATCGTGGATGTATGTGGACAGTGGAGGGAAACATCGCAGTGTGATTACCCAGCGTCCTGTCCTCCATCACCGCACCACCTTTAGACCCCATAACACCCCCCATCTCATCACACACCTGCACAACATCCTCATTCCAGCTCAGCTCAGGAATGACCCTGGGCTATACAACCACCTCCAATTACAGCGGGCGAGCATATTTTACATAAAGCGTCTCTGTGTCTTATAATATTATCCATATTTGGAGGAGATTTCTCCATCTGTGGTGTGAGGAAGTGGATGTGAGATATCTCCCTCCCATCAGTCAGCCCAAAGTCGAGACAGGTGAGGAGGAGACACGCTGTCTGGGAGGACGTGAAGCTCTGGAGGTTTGCAGGTTAGCTTAAAAAAATCATTTAAATCGTGCATTTTGCAGCTGAATCAGCGTGAACGTATCTCCATGTATGAGTGTGCAGGTTCCTTTATTTATTGTTTGCATTCGTTATTGTGTCCACAGAGAACAAAGAACAACTTCTGGCAGAAAACTCTTTTCTTATCTGAAGGCTACGTCTGTGGCAGCATACAGCACACGACAGAGGTGAGTAGATGGTAAATGGTCTCCACTTATATAGTGGTGGTACTCAGTGTGTTTCTCATTCACACACATTCATACACCAAAGAGCTGCCATGCAAGGAGCTGCTGCCATCAGGAGCAACTTCAGGTTCAGAGTGTTGCCCAAGGAGGTGTGAGGGGATCGAACCACCAACCCTACGATTAGAGGACAACAAACCTGTTTCCCACTTAGCCTATAGCTGCATAAACATGGTTACTGTGGAGGCAACTTCTGGTCAATAAAGCATGAAGTCAAAAACTCGTCTTTCTGTAAGTTATAAAATGTGAGCACCAGAACTTTTTTCCGTTTGGGACCTGTACAGGCTGCGTCTCTGCACATCTACATAATGGCTCAGCATGCACAAACAATTACTATAGGAACAGAAAATTGAGGCTGTGAAACTTCTGAGAATGTGAAAGGCTACAGGGGGGACCTGAGAGCAACTATAAATTAGTGGTAATCAGCAGGTGTAGAGCCAGATATAGTGCCGTTATTCAGAGTCGAGTCCTAAAATTATGCTTCAGATACTCTGAGAAACAGACGAGTGCTTCAGACGTGGCGTCGTGGTTAATCAGCGGAAATGACAGTTTCTGTGAGACTCAAACGGTGTGAAGGACAATACATGAGATTAAATTCTTTCCTACTTAGAAAACGTATTTTTCCTTTTTATTTTGTCATTAATAGCAGCAGAAATGGGTAAAAACTCACCATTTATCTTTTATTCATATGACATGAGTGTCTTTGCTTCCTCATTTCCAAACTAACAACAGAAGCACACCAGCAGCTCGTCAGCGCCACACGCGTCACCAGCAACAGCTTTATAAGGCTGTTAAACCTTAACGAGCTTTTAGCAGCTTTAGCATTGTTTACGGCATTCCTCTGCTGTCCTAATGTATAGAGCGCTGCCAGAGGTTGCAGACTGAAGTGTCGCGTGAGGACAAAAAAAAAAGGTCTGTGGAGAAAACTCAGACTAATTAAGTGATCTCTGAAGCTCCGTTTCTCATCCCGGTCTTACTTTCACTCCAATGTTCCAGCCCAATGAAGCGTTACGTCTGACAGGAAACATATAACACGGCTACATGACCGTGTGAGCACTAGCCTGTGGCTATAAACACTGGGGAACATATGCTACATAGCTCTAGCCTCGGGCCTCACCTTCATTGGAGAACGGAAGCACATTAGCAAACTCAATTTAATTTGAACCAAGTTCTGCAAAAAAAAGTGTTGGGGTCAGAATATTAGCTTTTATTTCTGATCAGTCAATCGACACGTCATTGAAATGTTCTTAAATTGGGGGAATGTGTTTTTTATTAACCTTTACACTGAAAGTCAGATAAATGCGTCGATATTCTAATGGAAAGTGTAATTTGCTCATTTGTGACCTGACAAAAGCGCATTAGGTTAAATGATATAAACATGATTTTAATCGACGGTGGAAGCACATTTTAGCCTTTGTGAGGCTGTGAATGTGTGACATTTATTAAATGACTTCAACAATGATAAAAATCATTCACTTGTCTCCAGGCTGGCATTGGCTTTATTAGTCTGTACGGCGCCTCATTAGCCTGACGTGTTGGATAAACGAGGACACGTATGAGCATGTGCATAACGAATACTGTCCCACATAGATGTATTCATGGATGTTTTAGTTATATACTCACACGGTTTATTAAAGACAGTAAAGACCTCAGTCTGATCAATATGAAGTCAGGAGGAGATATTCAATGGCTATGTCTGGAATCACCCTCTTACTCTCTACTCCCTGTATAGTGATCACTATATAATGCACTATGTAGGGAGCACCTCGGCAAAGTCACATTTCGGACACGACTCGAGCTGTTAATTACGTCGCTCGTTAGCCGCGATTTGTGCCCCAACAGCGTCGTACAAACACATCAAATTCACAGTTTATTGCGTAGCTAAGAAATCAAATTAAATCAAGTTTGTTGTCATTTTGCTGCACATACCAGATGGGAGAGCGTCTCTTCAGGATCCACTAACTTAAAGCAATTTAAATAAAGTGGTGTAGCATGTCCAAACCACAACCGTTCACTGTCCTGATGTTCAGCAAAGTCTCTGAGCTGCAAGTTTTGCAGAATGAACGTCTGGGATGGACAAGACACTCAAAACGTTCCCTCTCACTGTCTCCTGAAGGGGGCGCTGTGTCTGTGCGCGCCGCCACCTCATCTAATCCATCTAAGAAACAGGTGAAATAAAATTTAACCAAACAAACGGGAATTTTCCGCGCTCCTGTTCATCTAGTTTCCATTTCCTTTTGTGCAACGCATGACGGTCCATATCACTCAGCTAGTGACCATCGGCTGTACGCTGCTTCTCATGGTGCATTGTGGGATATTTTGAGTGCACTATATAGTAACTTAACATTCAGACACCCCTACGAGATGGCGTACATCCTGTATAGTGCACCATGTCAGGCCTAAAGAGCCAAAGTCTTTATTCATTAGTTTTTTCCTGATGATGACCAGCCATGTTTCCTAAAGAAATACAACTAAACTGAATATATTTGGAGGAAAATGCATTTTTTCCTGGATTACTTTAGTTTGTGCTGCATCATAAACACACGTCTAATCAACATGTCATGTGCTGCATTGCGTCACCGTTGCTCTTTTCCAGGCACCCAGAGGCCTTGTGACCCTGAAAACCCAGAGGATGGACGAGAAGCTCCAAACGTGTTGTATTCTAACACAAACCGTGACATGACAGCAGAAAACAAAAGTAAACAGCGAGCAACAACTTGTAAGTCTAAGGATAATGATCCCACCGGGGACACGAGCCCCAGTCTCCTGAGTGAGAGTCCTGCTGTGGATTCATGCCTTCAGATGCCCTCCGAACCTCCACATGCGGATTTTAAGGGTTCCTTGAAAATGGAAATGTTTCCTACTGAGTCGTACAGAACCGCAGAGGAAAACCCGTTTCATTCAGAGTGTAAATGAAAAAGCAGCTTAGTGGTGAAGGAAAGAACTTCTGTTTTTGCTTTCAATCATGACAACAGCACAAACTGTCACCTAAACAAAGACAACAGTCAGTCAATTATGGTTTCTCACCGGAGGGCAGTTGCTCCAGGATCCCCAGGGTGCCGTGACACAGTCGTTGGGGCAGGCCAGGAAGCAGACCTGGGCTCTGGGTGGCATTTCCTCCTGATCACACAGACTATCCTCCACACCGCTGTCCTCCCCGCTCGCCGACTCCTTCTTCACACACCTAGCAGAGCAGCAGATGCAGCGCTATAACTAGTCTCTGGGGCCCTCAGAACTCGGTACCTTTTTGGAGTTTCAAACCCCATTTCCAAGTTTCTGACTCAAAATAGATTCCCTTGTTTTCCTCAGGTGAGATTTCCGAGTCGGTTCTGGTTTTAAAGGGGCCTCTGCGGTTTATCCAACCTGTTTGGACTCTCTGAACATTTAACTGTTCATAAAAAAATAGAAATAAAAAGTCTACGTACGGCTTTTGGTGGAAAAATGACAAAAAACTGGTTGTTTGTTCAAATGACCCATATTTTCACCTTGTGAACGGCTGTCTGTTTACATCCAAGGCCAAAGAAGCAAGACATTGTTGTCCTGCAGTGAAAGGAAAACATGGACCGCTGAGCTCACCAGGACCTCCTGCTCATTAGCAATGAATGGAATCAGGACCAGCCAATGAAGAGAGCGACCGCCACCGTTTCATGTCACAGATAGTCAGAACTGATCAATACATAATGATTGATTAATTCATTCTACTGTCTAGTGCTCCTCAGGTCTGGGTATTCTGCTCTTTAATCATACATTAGCTGTATGGATGGAAACCAGAAACCCAGAGCACCAATGAAAAGCCTAATTTATTGTTCAGGTGAACGACTTTGGGGAAAAGTTAGTAAGAAAATAATAACGAACAGATACGAGTGCATCACAGATCAGTGTTAATATTGTATATTGACGTTCATCAGATGTTCCTCAGCGGTCTTAAAAACTGACTAACAGCTCGTGATGAAGCTGGAAACCAAGTTTACAACTGTACATGCACATTTCTGAATAAAGGACAAAATAATGAGGTATTATAAGTTTGTCCGACTGTAGCAGCAGATCTTCAGCTGAGTGTTTGATCAGCTTAAATCTGGTTCTGGCGCTTATAGTTGGACTTGCAGCGAACAAGTCCATCTCAGCTTCTTAAGACACAATAATACAGCTGCCCAGTGGTGCTTAATCCAATACCAGGGTCACAACTTCACTTCTCTCCTCTGTGGCTATTTTAAGTAGCACTAAAAGGCACAGCAAAAAAAAAATAAAAAAATCTATCAGCACTCATTAGGAGGCAGTAGTTTGTTGTGACTGTTTGTTTTCCCTTGGCATCGCGAGTGTCAGGAACAGTGCGAGTGCCAGCTACAGGACCGCTGCCAGTCTGCTCCTCCCGTCGTGTGTTGCGATGCCAGCCTCGCAGTCTGCCAAGCCTAACCCGCTCACTGACCTGATCTTGCGGCTTTGGACTCCCTCTCCGCAGGCTGGCAGGTCGTCCACGGCATTGATGGTGCAAATGGACCAGGGCTCGATCCTCCACTCGTACTGGCTGCATTCGCTGTGGCATGGCACAGCCTCGTACACCTGTATGCATGCACACACACACACACACACACACACACACACACACAGAGGCAGAGAGAGAGAGAGAAAGGGACACATATGAGAAATTACAGAAAGAAAGCAGCAAAGCATGAAACCTGAAAAAAGGGATATGCATACAAAGCAGCTTCCTCACTGACATTCCCACACACACAGACATGCTGGAAAGGCACACTTTAAGTTTCCTCAGTAAACTAATGAGGTGTGTAGGTTAGAAACAGTTTCCCTCCTGGGTTTTGATTTGATAAATCTCAAAAGACAAAACGAAAGGAATAAATGAAAAAAAAGAAGAACCTCTGGAGCTTTTAGGTGTAATTTCGTACAACTTGCATTCTCTTCTTGTTGCGTTTATTTTTAACATCTTGTGCTTTTCTGGCATTTTTTGAAGTTTGGATTCAGGATGATGTTCCTTATTTTGTCTACATTCGGCTTGTGAACGCGGCTTTAATTGAAAGCTTACAAGTACGTTTCCGTTAACAGAAGTTCAACTCTAAAGAACGCTTTCACTACTTTGAGCTCACTGATGGACGCTTAACATGCAACAACAAAAAAAAAGCATTTTATCAAGACTCAAACAAATCTGTGTATGATATGGAGAGACCAGCATGGGGTGTGTGTACAACGACAATGACCATGGCAACAAGCCCTTCAGCTGACGAAGTAATTGGCTGGATTCTGAGCCTATTCACTTCTCCCCACTCAGCCACGGAATCTGGCATGTCTGTATAACCAAGGGAACAGCCAGCACAATGGTCCTGTAAACACGTGTTTACTCTCAATCTATGTAACTGTCTGCCACAGTAAAAGGTGTACTCTTGAGGACAATTTGTGGAAAAAGCTATGACAAACTGTAATGGGTGTCAGTAAGTGTGTGTGTGTGTGTGTGTGTGTGTGTGTGCTCAGACTGGAGAGAGGGAATGAGTGTTGAGTATTCCCTCCCCTGCGGGACACACAGATGCCTATTACACACCGTCATCATCTCCCATCTGTCCCTGCAGATGCCCCTGCTGGGTAAACTGGCAACTGCTCTTCTCCCACTTTCTCTACCACTGCTGCAGAAACACAGTTCCAGCTTCACGGCTAATGTTGATCACCAGAAAAAATGACTTTTGAGTCACTTTCCTCGATAAATGCACCGTTTATTTAGAGCGTTTGTGCAGCGAGGCGTCGTGACACCGGGGCACTTTCCAAAAAAAACAAAAACAAAACAAAAACATAAGGTGTCAGATCAATATTCAATAATTTGTTGGCGGGTTAAAGATGGTGTACTACAGCACAAAGGAAAACACAGGATTTGCTCCCAATTACATCTTAGGTCGCACGCATTTACAAGAAGCTCTGGTTGCAGTTAGAAAGAGTTAGAATAAGCTACCAGCAAGCGGATCCACGCATGGGTGAAATGTTACACGAGGAGTCTGTCTTCTGCCCTTTTGTTCTCTTTTAAAAAGTTCTGGATTCATTTTTTTTAAAGACAAAAGTATTACCGAGCTCAATTTCCTTGAGCGCGCTCGCTATACTTTACCGCCTATTCAGAATATAATGAAGTCTGAATGTTCTTTAGAAAACGTCAATATGAATTTCCTCCAGTTAGAAATCAGATCATCCACTCGACATAGATTATTCCCATTCACGTCGCACTCTCTCCAATCAAACTGTTGTTCTTTCTCTCGACCAAAAGGACCAAAAGGGGGTCGGGAGCACGTGTGACTTGGACAGATCTGGCATGCATTTTGTCTTCATTAGCTAAAGCAGAGTACATGTACAGAATGAATGGCACTGACCTGAGCCTGCGTGGATGTCCATATTAGCAGTGCATGACAAGCCAGAAGTTGGGCGGGGGAGAGAAGAACAACGATATGATCATTAGTTTAGATTTTGCCTGCAGTGACAGAAATGTATATAGTTCTGCTTCAATTAGATTTTTGAGAAAAAAAAACCCGCTGCATTGAGCTCAGTGTTTCATTAATGAGGCTAAAGGATGATTAGTTACTTCATCGTCTACGGTGGATCTACTCGTCCTGGATATTTTGCCAAACTGAATGATTCATACTGCTGAGAGAGTTTTCGAGTGCCGCAGTTGGCTGCAACAGCTGTGCTTCGGCCAGACCTGCAGCTGAAGGCAACTCCAAGAAATTAATTTGTCTGGAGATGGTGAGCGGCGAGTCGACGTGAATAAGCATATGCTCAGAGCGGCTGTGTGCTCGCGATCTAAACAAGGTTACTCACAGCAAACTATCGAACAAGTTACCAGCTTAGGCGGCTCTTGCAATATATTTTTCATCAACAAAAATTGCATTCGGATAAAATCCGCCGACCTGAAGGCAGCGTCGACTTGAGCTGCAAACACATGTTCATTTAAAAATGAGCATTTACTCGAAATGTTTTGTTTTATTTGAGCTAAATGCTTCCTGGGATGAAAAAAGCAAGCCAGGTATATTCTGTAAACCCCCGATAATACAAAAACTCTTTCTGTTTCAACTCCTAGTCACTCATTTACGGCTGCACATCTGAATAGGATGACGAGCTTTGGAACCGGTAGTTAATGACGACTAAATTTAGATTCCCAGGTTTACAGGAAATGAAGTCTCTAAATGAGTCTAACCTGCTCTGTGAGGTTCTGATGATGGCTTACATCCAAAAAAACACATCTGAGTAATGAGAAGCACCGTATATATACTGTAGGTGCCTGCATAGTGACGCATATGTACACAGAGAACACACACACACACACACACATACACAAATAAACCCATAAAGACCAATACAAACGGACATGTGAAGCTCCAGCAGACCCCTCTGCAGGGATGGTATTTTATTGTAAACAGAGAGAAAATGGGACACGAAGCCTTGAAGCACAGCACTCTCGTCTATAAATCTCTCTCCAAGTGTCATTGTGTGACTACAACTTCAAATAGACTCTGCTATTACTGTCAGCAGGTCCATGGATGAGTTAAAAAAACTACGCCTCCTCCGAGAAACACAGCGGGATCTATTCCCATGCGATGATGACCTCTCAAATATACTCTTGGGATGATGAGTTAAAATCTGCCAAAACACAACAGCCATTAAGATGACTGCTACTGAAGTGCAGACATGCTGCTGGAAAAAAAAGGCTTGTTGAAACCATAAACTAAGTGATTTAGATGAGAGATGGTGAGGTGAAATTGGCACCAGGGAGAGGAAGAATGATCCAAACAACCAATATACAAGCAAATCAACAAACGGAAAAGCGCCTGTTCATTAAAAAATAAAAATAAATGGGCAGCAACAGTCGACCGTGCACCGAGGCAATAACAAATCTGAGTCCGTCATCTGCTCTTAAAGCCTGCTGACTCGCTCGTCTCCTCTCTCGTCCTGATCAGTTAAGACTAGGTGGATAACGCGCTTAATCCCCCCGAGTGAAACCAGACTTGAAAGTGGATGCACTCCTGAATGTAGTGAACCTGTTTAATCAGCTGTAATTTTTATGAGCGTCACACAAAAGACACACAACCACAACCGCTCCGAGATTAATACCGACGGTTGCTCAGTGACCACCGAGTCAGTTTACCTGATACCATCCTCTCTCTTTCTTCATAAGCGTCTCCCAATTAGGTTTCTTACTATCAAGGATGCTGTTGAACCAAAGCCCTGACACCATGTACAGTATGTGCAACATCCTCCAGCTCGACCGCAGGGCCGCGGTGTGGCTTTCCATAATTACACAAACTGATTGGCCATCAAGCTCAGAAATAATGTCCTTTTCTCATTTGCTTTGTAATCTATTATGAGGAGCCAGCTCGACAAGACAGGAATGCATTAGCGGGGACATTTTGCAAGCACTTAACCTTGCACCATAATAATAACTGTGGTCACAAACCTTTTTACTCATACTTTGACAAAAAATTCTGAATGAACACGAACCACAATCAGCGCCTCTCTTTCACCGTTTAAATGAATACTTTACTGTAAACGAGCAATTTGTACTTCCGAGAGAAAACTCTAGCGAGGTCACAACTAAATCCAGTCACTGAAGGAGACACTGGTGACGTTCCTCCAGGTCCAGCTGGACGTGGAGGTTCTGCAGCCTCGTCTATAGCTGCAACATGCACACACAGCAGGACCTGAAACCTCCACGTCCCACTTCACATGGAAAAGTGAAATGATTTCACAAAATAAACTCGACACGAGAGTGTGCAGAAATTGTGGAAACTCTGACCAACTTGTACAAACCTTTAGGAGACAGCTGAGACACAGATGGAGAGGTGGTGGAGCTACTCTAGAAAACTTCCTGTCAAACTCGGGATGCGAACTAAATATACTTTGTACATGTTTAAAGCAGCTGCGGTAAGACGGCAATTATTCCATACAACTGAAATTGTGCCATTTACGTCTGTGATTTATATTTCTAACAGTCGTGTTTCCATTTGGCGTGGTGGCTCAGTGGTTAGCATCGACGCCTCGCAGCTAGAAGGTCGCTGGTTGGCGTCCCGGTGAGGACACCCAAGTGGAGTCTCCATGTTCTCCCCGTGCAGCGTGGGTTCTCTCCGGGTTCTCCGGCTTCCTCCCACAGTCCAGAAACATGCTGAGGTTAATTGGTGATTGTAAATCGTCCATAGGTGTGAATGTGAACGTGCTTGGTTGCTCATCCTCGGCTGCTCAAACCACAAACCGAGGTGTGAGGATCATGTCGCTCCTCTTCTCAATGTAGGACTGGGAAAGATAAGCTAATGGAAACATCCATCCATCATCTATACACCTTAATCCTCACTAGGGTCATGGGGGGCGGAGTCTATCCCAGCTGACTCAGGGTGAAGGCAGGTTCACCTGGACAGGTAACCAGTCTATCACAGGGCTACACTTAGAGACAGACAACCAAGCACACTCACATTCACACCTACGGACAATTTACAATCACCAATTAACCTCAGCATGTTTCTGGACTGTGGGAGGAAGCCGGAGAACCCGGTGAGAACCTGTCCAAGCACAGAGAGAACACACAGAAGAACCCCAGGTGAGATTCAAACCAAGAACCTCCAAGCTGTGAGGCGGCGCGACCCCACCGTGCCACAATGTTCGCCCTAAATATGAAGATTTACTCACTGGACAAATGTAGAGGCTGCATCAAACATCTGTAGATTAATAACTGGTCAGTGGTTTTTAAATGATTTTGTATGAATCTCCTCACTCTGACTGCGTTACATGTACATGAGTAACCCAGTCAGGATCTGGCTTTAGAAGGATTCTGTTTTTGTGTCAGTGCATCCTATCCTGATTTCAGAAGACTGGGTAAGTCCTTATCCCGGTTTTAATAAACCTGAGTGTGCTAGTCCTCAGAAAGCAGGTGTACATCATTCCCTAGCTTCAGGTACAAACAAAAGCACACACCCAGCTGACTATCACCACTGTCATCTGTAACAGAACTGGAGCATAACTGGTTCCTCTGGTCTCATGAGCGGCTTAACTCTGTCACACTACCAGTAAAAGGATGCTCTGCTGATACGGAGGCAACCAAATTCCATCACGCTGATCCCGTCCCACCAGTCACGGCTGCTTGTCTTCATCTCCTGGTTCCTTGTCTTACAGCGACAGTCTGTCTGTCACTGGTCAACGTGAAGGACGTGTTTCATATTTCCTGTCGCTCTCATCCTCCTCTGCTGCCAATAAGGTGGATAAACCAAATCCAGAACCTGATATTAGCATTTAATTACACTAAGCCCGCTCTAAGCCAAAGTGGCCTCGTATTCAATCGCCACAGTCAGACTGGTTTAGGGTTAGCCCAACGCTTACAGGGACGTCAGATTAAATTGCCCGTTTGTGTTGTGAACATTACAGGCATCTGAACAAACAGCATCAGTAGCAGAGATCTGTATCTGTCAAGTGTATGGAAATGTGAATACATTGATTTTTATTTAAATGACAAAATCCAACGATGATCAAAACCAACTGGGATGTGAACACAATCACCGCGTGTCTGAGACAAACACTTTAGACGGCGCAATTTTGAATTTAAATTCATTGTTTTGTTTTTTTTGGTGAATCTTGAGTACACGGTTTCATCAGATCTGCATCAACCGAGAGATACGACCTCGTTTGAACACGTTGTCCAATCTGCACATAGATGCTGCACATTTCAAACACAATCTTTCTTGTCTTTTGCTTTGCATTGACCACTTATTGCCGTCCACGTGAAACCCAGTAATGGTGATTCTGTGCAGCAGGGCAGCGCACGGTTTTTATCTGATTATTAATTAATTATGAACAAATGCTGTACATGTCCAGAATGTAAAGACAGAGAGCCGGGAACTAGATATGATGGATTAATACACAGTAAATGTGCAGCAGTCTTGTCTTTAAAAAAAAAAAACACTGTATTTATCAAATGATGTATTTTTACATCCTTCTGAGACACTTACTATGATTTGTTCATCAAACAGCAGCCATCATTAAGCGCTGTATCTGGAATTAATTTAGCGGACCATCTGGGTGGCTGGAGGCTTCGGCGAGGCGGCAGAATTTAGCCTTTCTGGGCGTAGCTGCACTTCAAAATGCCTTAACAATATGCAGGGAGGCACCTTGGTTTTTGGGCCGGGCCTACGGGGGGGAGAGCAACACATGCCCGAGCACCGCTCTACGTTAATTACACCTCACTGGCCTCAGGTAGCTCAATCAGCATTTGGCTCCAGAAGTCTTTCATTCTAATGAAGGAGAGAGATGAGTTTACCACCTGGGCGCAGTCCGGGAAAAACAAGAAATCCAACATTTGTACCGATATTTGGGATTCAGCCATTTTGCCGACTTGCTACCA